TTTTCTCCGGTACCAGGAACCAAACTCACGACCTTGCGCTTGCCAGGCAGGCGCTTATGCCACTGAGCTATATCCCCAGCCCCGAACCAAGAGACTTTTAAAGTAAAACTGAAAAACGGTTAAAACATAATTAAGTGTACAAATATTTATCATTATATATTAATCAACCCCATAGATATTTAGTATTGATTAATAAATTGGGATATTCATTTAAAATCAGTGTCTTGCCTGATGTGGTAGCATTTCCTCTAATGCTATGTCACTTCCAAATAAGCTAACAAAAATCAGATTTTTGAGCCAATAAAATTGAGGGCCAGAACTAAGACTGTTACTGCACCAAGTCACTATTTCTTCAAGAGGCTTTGTACGCCTATGGCTGCTAGACTATATTTCCTTACCTTGTTTAACCAAGCTTCTCTATCCCTACCCTGTCTACCAGGTATCTTCTATATAAGCACAAGCTCCAAACACTGAACAAAACATCTCACTGAATCACAAAACAATTTAAAATGCTTACCTCTAAGTCGTTGAAAAACAGATGTGTATCAGCCACTTCAAAAATCATTTCTTCCATTGTTAAACCTGAGCCAATCACTACTGTTGGGTCCTGGAAGGCAATAAGAGAAAAAAATGGGTTGGCTTCATACTTATAGAACTGGTTCTAAGGGATACAGCTCAGTGGCACAGTGCCTACCTGGCAAGCACAAGGTCCTGAGTTCAATTCCTGGTACCAAACAAACAAAAGACAGTTGACCAGAACTGGTTCTATTTCCAAATATTTCAAAATTGAGGTCAATACAGGCCCAAAATATTTAAAAACAATACAGGTTCACAATATTAATTTCAGGGGCTGGGGATTTAGCTCAGCGGCAAAAGCGCCTGCCTAGCAAGCGCAAGGTCGTGAGTTCGGTTCCCGGTACCGGAGAAAAACAAAAAAAAAAAAACAAAAACAATATTAATTTCAAATATTATTAATGAAACGTCATTAATATTTGTAAGAATCTGAGATTGTTAAAGAGATTATGGACAGTTAAAAATTTCAAAACAACAGTTTCTAGAAACTATTATTGTCATCAAAGGGGATTTATTTTAAATAATACATTTTAAAAATGAACCTGCTGTTTTACAGTTAAAAAAAAAAAATCATATCATTCTCCTCAAAAAATAATCCACTTAATGTTTTTGGAAATTCCCTTGTTCAGAGGAAATTCTAATTCTGGCTAAAATATTGCTATCATAATATGCATTGTCTCCTGGTATCCTTACCACATACACAGTATAACAACAGACAGCTGATAATCTCAACAGCCAGGACAGGAAGGACTAAAGAGTCAAAATATCTGCAGGAAAACCAATGCAAATTTCTTTAAAATGAACCATCAGTATTTTACTTAGAAACTGAAACGTTTTTATAAACATCTTAGTAATATAGTTTACGTCAGCTGGCCAGCGTAGACAGTAAAAGCCTGCGGAAAGTACTCTTAACAGAAATATCAGTGGCATTGCAAAACAACTTACAGCAGTGAGATGCAAAGGCAGTAGATATTTTTATAAAATTTACTTGCAGAATCTGAAAAACCCAAACTTGGAGATCATTTAGTGTAGAAATACCAGTTCGAATCTTCTCAAAACAGCTCATTTTTTGCTACTGATGTTTAGAGTAAGATGAAACGGATTAAATTTTGTTTGGTGAATTTAGTTTCAAAAAGCGTATGTTATAGTTTAGCTCTAGAATGTGCCTCAAAACTCTCATGCTCGGAAGGGCTTCGGGTCACAGGGCCACTGTCCTCTTCAGGAGACTCCTCTGCTAAGGGGCTGAGCAGCGCAGGGTACTGGGGGGCCTGGGCCTGTGACCTGGAAGGGTGAGTCTCTCTCCTCTCCGCTTCCTGACCGCCATGATTTGAAGTTTTCCTCCACCACAGCCTTTCGGCATCCTGCCTTGGAGCCAGCCAACTATGGACTGAATCCCCTACAAACCGTATGACAAGTAAATCACTCTTTTAAGTTCTAGGTGTCAGGTTTTGTGTTTTAGCAATAAGGAAAGTGACAAAAACAGCATATAATCTACTTTAGAATATTTCACCTATTTACATCTAACATATATATATTGCATTTACACTATTAAAAGAGACTTAATCCCAGCACTCTGGGAGGTGGAGGTAGGAAGATTCCAAGTTTGAGTCCCAGGTGGCCAACTCAGTGAATAAGACCCCATCTCAAAATTTAAAAAGGGCTGGGTATGGTGGTGCATGCCTGTAATCCCAGCACTCAGGAGGCTGAGGCAGGAGGATCGTTTTAAGTTCAAGGCCAGCCTGGGCTACAAAGTGAGCTCAAGGTCAGCTTGAATTGCACAGTGAGACCCTTTCTCAAAAACAAACCAAAAAACAAAATTAAAAAGGGCTGAGGTTTGTAGCTCAGTGCAAAGGCCCTGGAAAAAAAAGTGACTTAAACTTTAAGGAATCAGTTTTTGAACATGAACCTAAGACTTGCTCTGTTTTGAGACTTACTCCTCAATCTTTAAACTTTGTAACATGCGATGAACAATTTTAGCTCTCAGCCCTGGTCCCAGGTCTGGTCTATACATTCACCATCAACTGTACTTGATCCTGTGCCCTGCCTGGTGCCAGGCATCTGGTGAAGTTTTATATGGAAAGTTAAAAGCGAACAGGGTAAGACAGAGGTGGCAGAGAAAACTTTTTTTTTTTCTTATTAGAAGAGGGATAGTTATAACAAAGGAATATTCAAATTACCTTGCCATACTTCTGGGCATAGGATCCAGTAAGAAGAGAATGGAAGATGATGATGGTTTCATCCAAGTCCCACAGAAAAACCCGCTGAGGGAAGAAAATATTTAAAAAGAAGTATACTGAATACCTTCCAATGACAATGAAATGAAATAGAACAGAAGAAAAACTGGAAAATTCACAAATATGTAGGGAAGAAATAATACAATCTTAACCAATAGTGGACGTCAAAGAGAAATCACAAGTGAGATCAGAAAATATCTTGAAATGAATGAAAATATAAACAACATACTAAAACATAGGCTATAGTGAAAATAGTACTAATGGAGTTATAACTATAAATGCATACATTAAAAAAGAAGACAGAGTGTTGGGAGATGTACCTCAGTTGGGAAATATGTGCTTTGCATAAGCAAGGCCACGGATTCAATCCTCAGGGCCAAAAAGAAGAAAGATCTCAAATCTATAACTACATAAACCTAACGTGAGGGGCTGGGGATTTAGCTCAGAGGCACAGCACTTGACCGGCAAGCGCAAGGTCGTGAGTTCGATTCCCGGTACCAGAAACAAACAAACAAACAAACAAAAATAGAAGTATAAACCTAACGCGAGCAGAAGAAAACAAGTAAAAGTTAAAGCATGGATAATTAAAACAGAAAATAGGAAATAGTACCAAAAAGTCAGTGAAACCAACAGTTCTTTGAAAATTATCTATGAAACTGACAACCTTTAGCGAGAGTGACTGGGGGGGGGGGAACTCACGTTACTAAAGTCAGAAATCAAGTGGAGACATCCCTACTAATTTTATAGACATACAAAGGATTTTAAGCAAAATTATGAACAGTTACATGTCAATAAATTGGATAATCCAGATGTCAAATTTCCAGAAATATACAACACAAAGTAATTATACCAAATACATAAGTAAGTAAGAATTAATACCAATCTTTCCAGGCACAATAATGCATATCTGTCATCCTAGCTACTCAGAGTTGCAAGTTTGAGGCCAGTCTGGGGAACACGAGATCTTGTTTTAAAATAAAAAGGGATTGGGCCAGGGATATAGCTCAGTGGCATAGTGCCTGCCTGGGAAGCACAAGGTCCTGAGTTCGATTCCTAGCACCAAAAACAAACAAACAAATAAATAGGGCTGGGGATTTAGCTCAGCGGCACAGCATCTGCCTGGCAAGCACAAGGTCGTGAATTCGATTCCCGGTACCAGAAAACAACAACAAAATAAATTAAAAAAAAATAGAAGACTACTTTCTTGCACTTGAAAACTTTGATATACAAATGAATAAATAAATAGGGATAGGGATGTAGCCCAGTGGTAGAGTACTCATATAGCATGTACCCCGGTACAGATGGAAAAATCCCCAAAAACCCAAAACCCTACCAATCTTTCCTAATCCCCCTCCCCCAACTGAAGAAGAATACTTGTTTTTTCTGGCACTGAGGATCAAGCCCAAGGCCACAGTGAGCTACAGTGATCTCAGCAGAAACCTACTGAGATCACTGTAGAGACAGGGTCTTGCTGTGTTCATTAAGTTGCCCAGGCTAGACTCAAATTTATGATCCTCTTGCCTCAGCCTCCCAGAGTACTGGGATTACAGGTGTGCACCACCATGCCTGGCAGGAGAGTACTTCTTAGTTCATGCGTAGAGGTCGGTATTACCCTGATACCAAAGAATATATAGGATTCACACTTCTTAATTTCAAAACTTACTGTAGCATTTCAGTAATCAAAACAGTGTGGTACTCGCATAAGACCAGACATAAGGACCAATAGAATAGAGTTGAGTCTAGAAATAAATGCCCACAAATATGGTTTATCAATTTTTGTCAAGGGTTCCAAAATCATCCAAAAGGGAAAGAAACTTTTTGTTTGTTTGTTTTTGCGGTCCTGGAGATCGAACTTAGGACTTCACACATGTGAGGTAAGTACTCTACTACTGAGCTACACTCCCAGATCAAGAAGGTCTTTTCAGCAAATGGTGCTGGGAAACCTGGATATCCATAACCAAAAGTACAAAGTTAGACCTTACCATGTATACAAAATTGCCTTAAAATGAATCAAAGGCCTAAATTTAACAACGATTAAAATCTTACAAGGAAACAGATGAAAATAGTGTTCAAAGTAGTATTCACAACAGCCAAAAGGTGAACAACCCCAAATATCCTTGAACAGATGAATGGCATGAATGTGGCGCGCACACACACACACACACACACACACAGTTATTCAGCCAGTGAAAGGAATGAAATTCTGACATAGGCTAACATGGATAAGCACTGAAAAATATTATTCATCGTAAGTAAAATAAGCCTGACATAAAGGGACAAATTTGTATGATTCCACTTATTTGGGTTATCTAGAATAGGCAAATTCATAGCAGCAGAAAGTAGAATGATAGTTGCCATAGACTGGGAAAAGGGAAATACAGGAAATTATGGCTTTATAGGTGCAGGATTTTTGTTTAGAACATGAAAAAATTCTCAAAACATACAGTGGTGATGTTACATAATATTGTGAAAAAATACACATACACACACACACACACACACACACACTGAATTGTATGCTTAAAATGTTAAAATTTATTTATTTATTTAATGCTATATGTATTTAACTACAATTTAAAAAATGAGTCCTCAGTTTTTCCCAAGAAATCTGTAAGAACTTTTTTTTTTGTCTTTTTGAGACAGGGTCTCACTATGCAGCTCAGGTGGGCCTTGAGCTCACTTTGTAGCCCAGGCTGGTCTCGAACTTGCAACGATCCTCCTGCCTTAGCTGGGATTACAGGTGTGCACCATCACACCCAGCCTCTGAAAGAACTTTCTTCTTTTATTCTGACCCACCATTTCAATTTACTTATGTCTAAGAGCATCTATCAATAGATTTCTTTTATTAAACAATTACATTATGAAAAATTTAGAAAATTAAAGGATAACATCAAAACCCCCCATTAATAGAATTCTTTATGTCTTTTTTTTTTTTTTTTCCCCTGTCTTTTTTTGAGACAGGGTCTCGCTGTGCAGTTCAGGCTGGCCTTGAGCTCACTTTGTAGCCCAAGCTGGTCTCGAACTCACAACGATCCCCCTGCCTCAGCCTCCCGAGTGCTGAGATTACAGGAGTGCGCCATCATGCCCAGCTTTTTTATGTCTTTCTAGTCTCACTAATACAGAAGTCAACTGTATGTCTATAGAAAATTCTGATAGTGTTTACAGCACAGAGTACAAACCAGTATCAATCTGAAGTTACCAGATCTACTTGTGTGTCTCAGAGCTGTGAACCGAAAGCATGCTAGTTCGCTCATTTCCCTTTTCGATTTCTAAACACAGAACAGTATGACATCACTTGTAGCTCCCTCTGCGTTTTGAATAAGAGCAGTGTTCTTCCTATTCCCTGGAACACAGAGGACAGTTTGTTCTTTGCCTTAAAAAGTTACTTGGCTACCTACATTCAGCAAAGCCTCCTCAGTGCTTTGGTGAAAAGCATCTGAAAGAGATATGGCAAGTTACAAACATGGAGAAAATTTCTTAGTTTTTCTTTTTACTTAGCTAATTCAGTCTCTTCTGCTTAGAAAGCAAAGGGCATACAACATAGATGCGCATTACCTCTATGAGTTTCAGACATACATTTGATAAACTTAAGAAGTGAAAAAACCTCCAACAACAAAAACCCAAAATAGGTAACTCAAAAGAATTTCTTCCCATACTTCCAATTCACTGTCCTGGGAAGAACTGGCATCAGCTTTCCTCTTGCCCCGGTTCTTGCCAGTCATGTTTTTCCTGGACTGATCATCAGCATCTTTACTTGGTGTGGTCTGGGATAAGGATGGGCTTGTAGAAGGGTCTCCTGGAAAGGAAAAGCAAGACATACTGCAGCAGTCACAGGCTATGAAATCCAGGGCAGGAAGACAGTCAGCAAATTCTGTCCCTGTGAGTTATTATGCATGGATCAAGTTTAGAAAACTAAATTTCATGTAAGCAATTTGGAAAAGTAAATCTAAGCACTGAGCATCACCAGTGTGGCTAAAGCCCCTTTTGAAAAACCTTCCTTTTGGGATAGGGTCTTGTTAAGTTCCATGGGCTGGCTTTAAACTTGGGATCTTTTGCCTCAGTCTCCTGAGCGCATCATGCCTGGGTTCAAGTGATCCTCTTGTCTCAGCCTCCCAAGCAGCTTGCACTACCACCATGTGCTATCACATCTGGCTTATGAAGTTGTTTTGTTAAAAACAAAGAAACAAACACGCCCGAACAACCCAAATTTGTTCAAGCTTCTAGAAAAAGGTCTGTCAAGTTGGCACAGCAGACATTATAGGGCAGGTAATTTTTTTGTTAAGGGGAATGTCTTGTGTATAGTAAGACATTTAATGAAACAGTATGCTTATCCTCTACTCATTAGGTACAAGTAGCATCTCCTACCCAGACAACCAAATAATGCTTCCATACACTGCCAATATCCCTCCCCCGGAGGCAAAATTACCTTTAGTTGAAAACCACTACACTAAATCCAAATTTACTAAAAAATGCAATAAAAACCCTGTAAAGACATAACCAGCAAAATTTAGACTGGGAAATATTGTAGGGTAGACAATCCAGTTTCTTCAACAAATAAATTGAAAGGGGAAAAAAAAAAGAGATGGAGGATTTACAGGTGAAGGGATATAAAACACAAAATATAAACTCCCTAATCACAATGTATAGGCCAATTTAGGATCCAATTTTTCCCTTCAAATTTTCTATTTATTCATTGATTTTTTGAGGCAGAGTCTTGCTATGCATCATCAATGAAAATTAATTGCTTTTCTTTATTTTTTTTCTTTTTTGAGTCAGGGTCTCACTATGCAGTTCAGGCTGGCCTTGAGTTCACTTTGTAGCCCAGGCTGGCCTCGAACTTGCAATGATCCTCCTGCCTCAGGCTCCCGAGTGCTGGGATTACAGGCACGAGCCACCATGTCTGGCTTTAACTGCTTTTCTTTCTTTCTTTTTTTTTTTCCCAGCTTTTTTTTCTTTTCTTTTTCTTTTTTTTTCTTCCTGGTACTGGGAATCAAACTCACGACCTTGTGCCGCTGAGCTAAATCCCCAGCCCCTTTAATTGCTTTTCTTAAGCAACATGATACGATAACCAACCACTAAGTTTTTATTGAATAGACATATATAAAAAAAGTATGTGTTACATGTTTATTAAATTTGTATATAAAGCATTTATGTGAAAAGTTTTTAACCTGGACATCATAAATGTATCTCAGACCTGCGAATCTCCTGAAATTATACGTTAAATTTTATGTATTTCTTTGGAGAAAAAGGACCATAGCTTTCCTCAGAATCTTAACAGGATTCAAGATATAGAAAGAAGGCTTATTCTGAGGCTCTAGCAGGAGCGCTAAAATATGCCCAAACTAAAATTAGAGTCCTCAAATTTTTATAAAATATGCCCAAATTCAGGGGTTCCCTGTCACGGGCACGTTAAAGCTAAGGGAAGGCAGGACAGGGGCCAGAAATATAGTCTTTTCACTGTTAGTACTTTCCTGTTCTCAGCATCAGGCAGACTGTCAGCTACCAGTGACCCATAGCCTGCTTCCAAAGTTTAAATGCCCCTTCCCTGAGGGGAAGCAAACAGAATAGTGATAGTTACAGTGATTTACACCAGGACAAAATCACCTTCACCACCACCTGACAACACCAGCTGGATGAAGTGCCTTTACACCAGTTTTGTGCGCTGTGGTACTTACCAGAGGAAAGTCTCTGTGCTGCTGGTGCAGGTACCATGACACTAGGCTTCTCTGCCTGGTAGGTGGTAGCTGCTAGTGTGGAATTCTCAGCATCACTGTTAGCCTGGCCAGTGACTCCAAAGCTGGAGCTGGGGTAGCAGGCCTGGTATTGGTTCTGACCAAGAATAGTATAGGTGGGATAGTCCTGTAGGCCAAAGGGAATAAGGGAGGAAAAGAACTCTTAGAGGATGCCTTCTTTTCTCCCTCTTATTCATAATTATTTTCTTAAATCATTAGTTTGACTTATTAATTACCTATTTAGTTGTCTCCCAATGAAACCAATATGGCCAAAATGCATTGTGTAAAAACTTGAGACCAGAGGAGATGCTTCAGCATGGGGAGAAGCCTGAGAGGAAGGGCTGGCCCGAGGGTACACTCATACACATACATACAATCTTCTCTTCCCTTAACAGTTCTTCCTCGCACCCCCAATTTTCACGCACCAAGTTCCTTGTGAGGATTTTTTTTCATTTTTGTGAGACAGGGTTTCACTATGCAGTTTAAGATGGCCTTGAATTCACTTTGCAGCCCAGGCTGGCTTTGAACTTGCAGCGATCCTCCTGCCTCAGAATGCTGGGAACACAGGCATGCGCCACCTTGCCTGGCTTTGCACCGAGTTTCTAAACAAACTTCTGCCTAGAATTTTTGAAGGAAAGCTTCTATTCTTTAATAAATTTATAAATCACTGCTCTAGATGGTAGTACTTCTAAGGGCAAATGAACTTAAAACAAAGAAGCACATCTCCTACGTTAAAATTTCTTAGAATGGACACCGATATTCATATTAACCTCTCCCTCCCCCCACGGGATTGAACTTAGGGCTTGTACACGTTAGCCAAGCACTCTACCCTGAATTACATCTCCAGCCCTATTTTTTTTTAAATCAAGTTTTCTTAAAAGATGAAGTTTCTTTAAAATATTCAGAAGAAACTTCTCTTTCTTTCTTTTTTTTTTTTCCGGTACTGGGAATCCAACTCTCTACCTCGCGCTTGCCAGGCAGGTGCTGTGCTGCTGAGCTAAATCCCCAGCCCTGAGAAGAAACTTTTCATAAGCACATATAAACCAAAACTTACCAAATTATACAATCTAAATCTGTGCAGTTTTTTAATATGACAATTATATCTTAATAGAGCTATAAAATAAAATAGAATATGATACACAGATCAGATATACACCTTTAAAAAAGTTCCACTGACACTGAGTGACAAGCAGGAAGCAGGAAGACACTAGCTGCCAGATCAAATCTTTGTACAACCATTGAGCACCTATTATAAATCAAATACAATTATGTGTGTGTGCGTGCACTTGTGCATGAGCAGGACACAGGAATACTAAAGAAAAGAGTAAGTCACTTCAGCAGAGCTCAAGTTGAAAATACAGCAGGAAAGAAGACAAAAAAATTCCAATGAAAACAAACAAACAAGCAAACCAAAAAACCCAAAACATATTTCCAACAAATTTGTAATAAATTATATGTTAGATGAGTGAAACACAGAGGAAGACAACTGTCACTGTGGGCTGTAACGGTGAGAGTGCTTCTTGAGATTAAGACATATGGGAGGCATCACGGTTTAGATCTAAAATATCCCCCCAAAGTCTCATATTCAGAGGCGGGGCCTGGCTGGAAGGGGCAGGTCCCTGGGGGGTAACAGGTTCTAAGCGTGTCTGATCGTTCTCAGCGGCTCCCTTTTCTCTCCGCTTCATGGTGCTATGCAGTGAACAGCTTTCCTCTGCCATGCTGTTCCTGCCTTGGAGCTGGGTGACCATGTACTGAATCTACTGTAATTGTGAGTTGAACTAACCTCAAGATACAGGTGTTGGGTATTTTGTCCCAGCAACTAGAAAGTGACTAATACAGAAGGCAAGAACACAAACAGGCCCTGCAAAGGTTTTATTAAAGGGCCATAGATGTTGAGTCTGGTTAAAACAATGGATTCTCATAGGTCTGAGTGACTGGTCAGTATGGTTTACATACTTTAGGCAATACTGTATAGCTTGTACGGGTTAGGAGACGGGGGCAGAAATGTGAAAGGTATTCAGGTGAATGACCTGAGAAAATGTGGCATTATATGCTGGGGTATGGTGGTGCACACCTGTGATTCCAGCACTGTGGGAGGCTGAGGCAAAAAGATTGCAAGTTCAAACCCAGCTGAGGCAACTTTCCAAGATACTGTGTGGGGGAGGGGCTGGAGATGTAGTTCAGTGTGAAGGCCCTGGTTCAATCCCCAGTGACACACACACACACACACAGAGGCACGCTCACACACACGTATATCGGGTCTGGTTTTATACTTGATGAACTTAAGAGAACTAGCAGGAAATTAAAGAAAAAGTATCCCTCAATCATCTTAAAGCCTGTAAACATCACGAGGTCAAGATCAGAGTCTTCATCTTAGAGACTCTAAATAGACACTGTGGTGGGAGGGGCTGGGGATTTAGCTCAGCGGCAAAAGCGCCTGCCTGGCAAGCGCAAGGTCGTGAGTTCAGTTCCCGGTACCGGAGAAAAACCAAAAAAAAAAAAAAAAAAAAAAAACAAGACACTGTGGTGATGGTTAAACATAACCTGAGATTGAAGTTATTATGACGTGGAAAAACTAAATAGAGACTGTCCATGTCAGAAGACAGGACCAAAAAGAAGAAACATGAATGGGAAAAGAGAAAGTCCTTAGAAGAGTGCTAGGTACAAAGGTAGGACCTCAGTAAGTATTTGTGGACTAAAAGAAAGAACAAATACAAGTATAGTAAAACACAGAAAATGAACAAGAATAGTAATGTTAACTGCAGCTAGAATGAAAGATCTATGGAGACGGTGATAACACTAATTGCTCCACAGAAACATAACACACAAAAACAAAAAACTCTATTAAACCACACCACTGAACAAATGGACTTAACATATATTTACAGAGTGTTTTGTCCAACAACAACAGAATACACATTTTTCTCAACAGCCCACAGCACTTTTTCCAAAATAGACCACATCTTAGGTCATAAAAGAGGCTTAAGTAAATACAAAAGAATTGAAATAATCCCCCACATGCTGTTGGGCCATAGCAGAATGAAGCTAGAAATCAACAGAAAAAAAGCCACAGAACTATGCAAACACATGGAGATTAACATATTGTTGAATAAGCAATGGATCCCAATAGAAATCAAAAAAGAAATAAAAAAGTTTGTAGAATCAAATGACAATGGAGGCACAACATACCAAAGTCTATGCGACACAGTGAAAGCAGTTCCCCGAGGGAAGGCTATAGTTCTAATGCACCCATAAAAAGAACAGAGTGATAACCATATGCAATACATTAACCATTTTAATTTCCTACTATCTTGTTTTGTTTGTTTGTTTTTTGTTTTTCTTCTGGTACTAGGAATTGAACTCACGACCTTGCACTTGCCAGGCAGGCGCTGTGCCGCTGAGCTAAATCCCCAGCCCCTTTGCTTTGAAATTCTGTATCATTGTTTATATTGTTTTTCTCTCTTTAAAATAAAAAAAGAAAAAGAAGAAAAAAAAGAATAGAGTGACCAAACAAATAATCTAAGATGCACCTAAAGGTCCTAGAAAGATAAGAACAATCCAAATGTGAAACTTGCAGAAGGAAAGAAATTATAAAGGTCAGAGCTAAAATTAATGAAATTGAGACTAAAAAAACAAATCAAAGGATCAATGAATCAAAGAAGTGGTTCTTTGAAAGATAGGAAGATATCTGGAGATGAGGGGACAGGAGGGAGGGAGAGAAGGGGAAGTAAAAAGGATCAAGATTTGCTATGTATATGTACCAATCCTCCTCAATAAATGTATTCACTATGTATTGTAAAGATATGATTTTTTCAAATGACAGAAAAAAAACCAGAACCCCTCTTCCCCCAAAAAACACTCCTCTAAAACACTGAGAATGTTACTAACGATGTTTTTGTTTGGTTTTGATAGTGAGAACGGAAGCCAGAGCCTTTGCATATTCCCAACCTCTTTTACTTTAAGGGAGGGTCTTGCTAAGTGACTAAATTGCCAGCTGGACGTGAACTTGTGACTGTCCTGCCTCAGCCTTCCACAATGCTAGGATTTTAGGTGTGCCACCATGCCCAACTTGTACCTAGAGTTCTTCTAAGCAGTTAATGTAACAGTGATCAAGACCAGATCACAAAGAATTTACAAAGGAATGAGGAATTTAAAGTGGACGTAATATTTAGTCATTCCACAAATTTTTTAGGAATGCTGCTGATATGGGTGTCAGGCACTTTTCTAAGCTCTGGGAATATATAAGTGAACAAAATAGAAAAATAAAACTGTAACCTTTATGTAGCTTATGTTCTAGTAGGGGCAGAGTAGAGGGTAGAAAGAAATATAGCAGCTAGGCTGGCAGACAAAGCCATATTCCAATGAGGCTTAGCAAGGAACAAGAGAAACTGGATGGCAGTCTGAGAAGCCATCCAGGGTCCCAGTTCTGAGGGTATCCAGAAAAATGGCGCACAGTCACACCATTCCTGACTGTTTCTTAGAGGACCATGGGAAGAAGACAGCAAGGTAGATAAACCAAGTCAAACAGGGTAAACACGAGAAGCACTGTACCTGGTTAGAGATGCTGGCGACTGCTGCTGCTGGAATATTGGCAATTGTGGAGGAAGTGGAGATCAGGCTGGCATTCGTGCTTGAAGCTACAGGATGGAATGGATTAAGAAACGTTAACTAAAAATACTATGTAAAAGGCTGGAAGACAGTGAAAATATATTATCCTAAGTGAACGTATCTACAAGGAGATAAAGAACACTGATAACGGAAACAAACAGTCGTTTGCTTTTTGCATGCCATGCCTCCTCAGTTTTGACTTGCTTAGAAACAAATACTTTAAAAATCTCTGTTTCAACTTGAGTCTTTAACTCTTATTCAAGTCCTAGAAGGATAATGCTACTAATGAAATCAGAACTACACTAAACCATTCCATTCCACCTTCTCTAGAAACTGAAAAATGACTCACCTGCAGTGTGACCTACTGACGCCCAACAGAGCAACTGGTAAACCCTACTCTGTGTTACTGATTATCACTTGCCCCAAATTATCCCCTTCCTGATACAACCTAAGCACTTTGAGAAAAAGTTAGTTCTTCAAGTTCTAAAGTGCTTGGAATTACTTCTTGGGCTCTTTATATATAATAGATTATTAATGGATAACAACACCATGATCTAGCACAGCAGTGGTGAACCTATGGCTGTTTGTATCACTGAAAGCTCTAAAAGGTTTGCCATCACTGATCCAGTGTTTATCAATGAACATGCAAAAACACAAAAACTCAGAAAATATTAAATATATTCTGGTCAGGTAAAAATGTATGTATAGCTACATTAGCTGCCTGCCTTGAGATGAAGAACCTGAATTAAGTTTTTATCCTTCAATCACAGATTCCACCAAGGTTTTACCCCAAACACCAGTGACTAGTAAATACTGCAAGGGTTTTTTTCAGGTGGGCAAAGTAACTAATGTTACGAGGTACTAGTTTTGAACTCCTCTCTTATCATAAACACACTAGACACAGCTTCTACTATAGTCATATGCACCCAGAGGGCTCCCCAGCAGATAGACCTGTTTACCAACAAAGCCCTCCCCGGGTAAAGGCATTAAGAAAACCTCTATTAAGACCAGAACTGGAGAAAACAATACAGCAGAGAGTTCACTGATCAAAATGAAAAAGAGTGGTTTCCTCCTTTTGCCCAGTAGTGCTCTGCTTAGAAGACAGTTTAAGCGGGGTGTGGTGACAGGAGGCTGAGGCAGGAGGATTGCCGCCAGTTCGAGACCAGCCTGGGCTACAAAGTGAGCTCAAGGCCAGCCTGAACTGCATAGCGAGACCCTGTCTTAAAAAGAAAAAAAAGAAGACAGTTTAGAAGAAATTAAGGTCAGTTACTGCTACTGCTGCAAGTTCTGGTTGGAACAATGAAGAGTTTGACTTCTTCAGAGGCACAAAGCTAGTGGTAGCTAATCAAGGTGACAATTTGGATCTCCAAATTATTTATCCAATGCTTTTCCTCAGAGCCAGTGGCTGACCTGGGGATCAGATTTCCTGACTACCCAGGCAGTATCAGAGGACTCTTAAGAAATTACTTTTTTTAATTTTTTTTTTTTTTTGGTTTTGGTTTTTCTCTGGTACCGGGAACCGAACTCACGACCTTGCACTTGCCAGGCAGGCGCTTTTGCCGCTAAGCTAAATTCCCAGCCCCAAGAAATTACTTTTTTAAATACAACTAAATGAAATAGATTTTATAACCTTACAATATGTTTTTCCTCATCAGTATTCACCATCTTTTCTACTGTGACTTAACCCATTTTTTTCCTGAGGAGGAAATACCCAAGAAATGAGAGTACATAGGGTAGGTGACTCTGTAAGCAGTTCTGTTTTGAGATACTGTCACTATGTAGTTCAGGCTGGCCTCGAACTTGTGGCCATCCTCCTGCCTCAACCTCTCTACAGGTGTGTGCCACCATACCTGGGTTTAATGATTCTTGTGGGAAAAGCTTTTGACTAGTTTTTAGACTGTCTTCCTAAACAGCCTGCAACTAAACAGACTGAACAGAGGTGACTTAAGATGGGAGTAAAAGTAAAGAACTTCCTTATCTTTTCTAGCAAAGCCCATTTCTAGATCAATTTTCCATTGACCCTGGATCTGGTATATGCTCCCTTTTCTTCAGTATTTTAATTCTGTTCAATCTTCCCAGTAATTTACTAGTGGCTAGAGGTTCAACTCTGTTATATCTGATTTCTATATACTGGGGGGGGGGGGCGGATATGTACCCTAAGTGGCTTTACAAATTTAACAATCTTCAAACCACTTACTCAATTGGGATGGTGGTAAAAAGCACACTTTATACAAACAATTAGTCATGCACCCCATTATCCCTGATTGGAAGTTTAATGAATTGATTAGCTAGTTGTTAACTGTCTGAGTTTTAAATAAGTACAACTAATTGCAAATTTCTCTCACCAATATGGCTTAAGGAATTTTGGCCTAATAACCTAGAAAATCCACAGAGCTCAATAGTTCAGTAATATTTCTTTCTGCAACTCAACCAAAACTTTTTTGAGACAGGGTCTTGCTATGCAGTTCAGACCAGCCTTGAGCTCACTTTGTAGCCCAGGCTGGTCTCGAACTGGCGGCAATCCTCTTGCCTCAGCCTCCCGAGTGCTGGGATTATAGGCACCACCACGCCCGGTTCTTAGAAAATTGTTTTTTTGTTTTGTTTTTTTTTTGGTACCTGGAATCAAACTCAGGACCTTGCGCTTGCCAGGCAGGCACTTGTGTCACTGAGCTACATCCCCAGCCCAATCAAAGCCTTTCTAACACACATCCTTCATTTATTCAGCAAAACAGTAAGTATATCAAGATCTACTGTGTGTCTAGAAAGTGTTCCAGACATTGAAAATTAGAAGACTAAGCAAGACAAAATACCTGACCTCATGGAATTTAAATTCTAGTGAGGGAAATAAGTCAATAATTAAGTAAGTAATATTTTTTAGGCTCCTGTAACTATCACTGAGCCGAAGTTAAACCTGCCTAAAAATATACATGAACATAGTTTACCTTACTTCACCTACAACTATGACTAAAAGCCAAGATTTTTTTTAAAAAGTGCTACCATTCTGCATATACGTGCAGGTCTCAAAAACAATATTCCATTGCAGATTTAAAAAAAAAAAAAGCGGCAGCAATGAAACATCTAACAAAAAGTACAAATTTACAGAATCAAATAAAATTCAACTGGCAGTTCATTACGTATGTAAAGGTTGTTAGATCTCTAAAGGACAATGACGTGGCCAACTGTTTTTGGACGATCCTCATTCCTGTTCTGACCATGGAGCTATGAAATCACTGACAAGACAGTGTTTGTAAGAGCCATGCCCTCCTAGTCAACCTAATATTGTCAACTTATAGAAATAACTATGGACACAGTGACTTCTAGTCAAAGAAAAATACATAAATGGAAAATGAGTAACTTTACAATGGAGAAACTCACAACACAACTACTTCAGTCAGATGATCAAGGCAGCATCCACCCTCAGAAATTGGCTGGACAGTATGCATACCACACACGATGTGATACAAAAAGACCTTTTACCTCTGTGATCTTCATGAGAAAGACATCAGACAAATTCCAGTGGAAGAGTATCTCACAATATACCTGACTAGTACTGCTCAAAACTGCCTAGGTCACCAAGAACAGGGACAGCGTGAGAAACTAACACCCAGAGGAGCCTAAAGAGATCTGACAACTAAATCTCACGTATCCTAGATGGGATCCTGGAACAGAAAAAGGACATCAGGCAAAAGCTAAAGAAATCTGAATAAACAACTGACTTAGCTAATAACATGAACATAGCTCCATTCATTCTTTTTTTTTGTTTTTGTTTTTTTGAGACAGGGTCTCACTCTTGAGTTCAGGCTGGCCCTGAGCTCTCTTTGTAGCCCAGGCTGGTCTCGAACTTGCAGTGATCCTCTTGCTTCAGCCTCCGGAGTGCTGGGATTACAGGCGTGCGCCACCATGCCCAGCTGGTCCAAATGGTGACAAAGGTGACACAGTACTTTAAGATGTTAATAACAGGGAAACTTCATAGGACATATGAGAGGATATGTGAGAAATCTATATGCTTGGAGAAATTTTTTTGTCTTTTTTGTTTTTCTTCTGGTACCAGGAATCAAACTCATGACCTTACGCTTGCCAGGCAGGCGCTGTGCCTCTGAGCTAAATCCCCAGCTCCTTTTTTTGTCTTTTTTGAGACACAGTCTCATTATGCAGTTCAGGCTGGCCTTGCACTCAGTTTGTAGCACAGGCTGGTTTCAAACTTGCAACGATCCTCAGCCTCCCGGGTGCTGGGATTACAGGCATGCACTACCATACCTGGCTCGAGGAATCTATATGCTGTCTGCTCAATTTTTCTTTAAACTTTTTTTTGGGGGGGTACTGGAAATCGAACTCGGGACCTTGCGCTTGCCAGGCAGGCGCTTGTACCACTGAGCTATATCCCCAACCCTCAATTTTTCTGTAACCCTAAAAAACAATATGCTAAAAAATAAAGTGTGTGTGTGTGTGTGTGTGTGTGTGTATATATATATATATTTTTTTGGTATCGGGAATCGAACTCATGACCTCAGGCTTGCCAGGCAAGCACTTATGCCACTGAGCTACATCCCTGAAAAATAAAGTATATTAATTAAAATAAAGTATATTAATAAAGTATATTAATTAAAAACAAAACTTTTTGCTCATTGAAAGTATAAGGCTCCAATCAGATGGACCCGACTCTCCCAGTCCCTAGCGTGCTTGCCAGCAGAAGAAGCACTACTCTCAGCAGGGAATTCAGCTCAGCACCAAAGCTGTTACAGGCAAGCATAGGATGCTGTAATGAAGATAATATAGGAAAAGGAATTTTGGGACATCTGGAGATACCTGAAAAAAGTAAAACAGACCTTCAAGGACTCTACTACTCACTGAGGTGCAAGATAGCCAGAGAACTTTGACCACAGATGTTTATTAAAATCTTCCTGACTAATGTCCCTTGCCTTCTTTCCATCCCTATAAAAGGGGCATACTTCCCTCTGTTCCTTCCAGAAAGGTTTTTCACTTTCAGCCTGCCTACACCCAGACACAATAAATTCCATGCCGTGTTGCTTTTACACAAGTCTGGTAGTCTCAGCTGGTCCCCTCTCCCTGCCCTGTGCATTATAGAAAGACTACTATGTGTTAACAATGCTGGGATCCAAAGACATTAATTAAAAATTAAAACTGAATTAAAATTAATTTTGAAATTTTGCCACTTGAATATTATTTAATCAACTAGACCAACTCAACTGAAGAAAGTGACCAATTCAAGGCCACACAGTCACTGTACTCTAGGAAAAAGAGTGATATAAAGAAATCAGATCTTACCACCACATTGGGAGGTATAAGAAAAAAGAAGTCAGAGTCCGGGGAAATAGCTCAGTGGCACAGCACCTGCCTGGCAAGTGCAAGGTTGTGAGCTCGATTTCTGGTACCCGACCCCCACAAAAAAGTCAGATATTCAAAGGATTTTCATATCATACTGCATTTTCAAGAGCAATCCTTTCTCCTTAACAGTACCACTGAGGTATAAAGAAAAGGTTTTGATCAGAGTTAAACCAAAAGCAGAATTTGGCTTCTGAGATAATTTTGCTAATCTCCCCAGGGAAGATGGGCTGTTGTCAATTGAGAATGCTTAGGGTTGGGCTGAGTGGATATTGCTATCCTGACCACTTAAACACAACACAACAAAACAACACATACCAATGCACTGCATTTTTTTTTTTCTTCATTCTACGGAATGACTGGTGTTATGGTTTGTATCTGGGTGTCCTCCTCAAAGCCTCACGCGGTCATGGGGCAGGCTTTTAGAGTTTGATTGATTATGGGTGTGAGAGCTACACCTGCCCTGGGGTGGAAGTTTACACATATAAGGGACAGGAAGCGGCTGCTTGCGGATATTCCTCCCCATTTTGTGTTTGTTGTTTTGGCTGTGTTCTGCCGCCATGAGCTGTAACTCTCTGCCATGTGCCACTCTGCCTTGTAACCTGCCAAGTATGGACTGAAACCTCCACAAACTGTAAGCAAAATAAACCTTTCCTTCCTTAATTTTGGGTGTCAGGTATTTTGTCCCAGCAACGAGAGAAAATAACCAAGACAACTGGAATAAAGAGGTAGCCCTGGCCGGAGTGCTGATACGTGCATGCCTGTAATCCCAGCACTTGGAAGGCTTACACAGGAGGATCGCTTGAGCCCAAGAGTTTAAGGCCATCCTAGGCAACACAGTGAGACCATATCTCAAGAAAGAGGAAGGAGAAAGTGGGGGTTGGAGTGGAAAAAAACAAAGTCATCCTCTTGAGTTTTTCCCTCCTACTTTGTTCCCATCTTAGAAATAAAAGATGGCAATAGAACATAAGAAAAAGGGAGAGATTTGGGGAACAACAGGCGATAAAGGCAAGTCAGACCAAGGTTGTAAGAATACAGTATGTACTAGTTCTGTTTCCAGTAGATCAAACAGCAGTTTCCCCAAATTTAACTGAGAACAGTTAAAATTGAAAATAAAAACCATATTTTAAAAATGTATATCACAATTTTTCTCATCACCAGTTCATTACCTTAAGAACCTCACACAGGGTTTGTATATCTTATTCTCATCCCTTTACCTTTCAATTTATAAGAAATAAAATTTAAAAGCTGGGAGAAAGGGAAAAAAAGCTGGGAGAAACCAGGAGAAAGGAGGCAGATGAAAAGGCAGGCTCTGGGTAAGTGATTCCCAGTGCGGAGCAATGGTAACCTGTCTACACTGCATCTGGAAGGGCAGGCACTTGACCCTATACTGCCTGTTGAGTGTCTTGTCTTTTTTCCTGATAGTCCTGATACAATCCTAACCTTTTAGGAAACCTGGGGAGGTAATGTTATTTAGAGTTTGAGTTTAATGCTATGCTTTTCATGCTGAAATACAAACAATAATGAACTTTTTGAGCAAGAAAAATGCCGTAAGTACTGTAGTACATGGGGGTACAAGGTGACAAAGCCACAGTAGAAAAGCACACACACCTTACAATATCACCCTGACAGTTCACATAAAAGAAGTCTGCAAAATTCTCACTCATTGTAGTCTTCTGCTCATGTATAGGACAAAATACCTTTAAGAGATATCAGCACCAACATGCAAAAGAGAAAGCTTTAACTCTATTAAGCAGCTCACATTCGAAGGCTAAGACTACTTGCAAACCACACTCTTTGGTTCTGGATTGCCTAACACAAAAGCATGCACAAATGCAAATATCACTGTTTTCTGTTTTAGAAGACAGCGCTCCTGTATTATCCAATTTGTTTGGAGATACAGGTAAATCAAAAACGAACAAAAAACTCAATAGTAATTAACACACATACACAACCATGCCTATTTACCTTGAATGGGGTAAGAATAATGTGCTGGGCTTGGCTGGCTTGTGGTTAACCCTGTAGTGCAGGTAAGAACACTGTGTTGACCTGGAGATGGAGTCTGAATTAAACCACTTTCGGGTTTCATACCTGGCCACAACGCACCTGAATCAGATAAATTGGACCAATTACAAACAATATACTGGGACTGAGGAGCACGGTTATGCTTTCAAACAGCAGCCAGTAGGTTTAAAATCTAAATCTTAAAACAAAAATAAATTTGCTTGTAAGAGGAAATTATTAATTTTCCCATTTGTAATATACCACAAGCAAATACACTTTCAAAGAGCTAGGAGATGGGGCCATAGAAACAAAATTTTTGCTAAAAATCCCAATAGTGGTATGTATATAAGTTCATTTCAATGCCTGGGGTAACTGATCAGGGTTCAGAGAAAGTTACTAACACCAAACGGGATAATTTATTATAAATAATGTCAAATGTTCATGTACAGTGATAAATCATTTATCCAAATTGTCAAGGTGGGAGAATCTCCACATAAGTTTAAAAAGTTCACTTACCCATTAAACAAGCACCACATTTTTCTAAAATGTGTTAAATTCTTCTGTTTTCTTGTTTATTTGTTTGGTTTTTTAAGACAGGGTCTTGCTAAGTAGTTCAGGCTGGCCTTGAACTTATTATGTAGCCCAGACTATCCACAGCCTCTCAAGTGCTGGGCATTACAGCTGTAGACCAACCACCATGCCTGGCTAATTTCTTGCTTTCTTGAGCTGATTATTTTGGTTTTTGTTTTGCCTCCCCCCCCCCCCAGGTACCGGGAATCGAACTCACAACCTTGTGCTTGCCAGGCAGGCACTGTTCCGCTGAGCTAAATTCCCAGCCCGAGCTGATTATTTTGTAACTAACCTTTGTTTCTGTTTTTCTCTGTCTCTGTCTCCCCTCTTTCTTCTGTCTCTCGGTCTGGCTCTGTTTCTCTCTGCAGCACCCAGGACTTTTACAGTGAGTTACATCACAGGTCTCCTCACCGCTTTGGAGACAAGGTCTCACTAAATTGGAGGCTGGTCTCAATTTGCCATCCTCTTGCCTCAGCCTCCCAGAATGCTGTGATTATAGGCATATGCCACCATGCCTGGCTTATTTCTTCTGATTAGGGAAGACATGCCATATTTTTACAAATTAAAAAGTATTACAGAAATATGTAACTTAGGAAAAAAGTCATACATACATCTATCATACAGATTTAACTACCATTAACAGCTTGCAAAAGAGTCACCCTGAATTCTTTTTTTTTGTTTGTTTGTTTTTTGTTTTTCTTCCGGTACCAGGAATCAAACTCACGACCTTGCGCTTGCCAGACAGGCACTGTGCTGCTGAGCTAAATCCCCAGCCTCACCCTGAATTCTTTTACACATTTACCTTATTTGTTTGTTTGCTTTTTGAGACAGGTCTCACTATGTGGTCCATGCTGGCCTTGAACTCATGGCCATCCTCCCGCTTCAGCCTTCTGAGTGCTGGGATTACAGGCACGTGACACTACACCTGGCTGATCTTTCTTTTTAATAAAAATGGGATGCAGTACATACTATTCATAATTTACTTTCCCATATAATACCTCTGAGAGACATCATTCCATGTCAGAACATATAAGTCATCTTAGACTGATAGACACCATAACTGCTCGATTTTATTTTATTATTTTATTTTATTTTATTTTATTTTTAAGGCACTTGACTGACAATCTCCCTAAAATATATTTATATCCCACCTCCCTGGTAGGGAGGAAATAGTGAGCCTTTAGGTTTTCTCAGAACTATTTTTACAAAGGTCAGTACTGAGGTGTGTTATATATGTATTACAGAGACACTTGTAGAGGCTACAGTGACATTTGAAGATAATTGCTTATTACTAAATTGAACTCATAGTTCTATGATTTTTAGGTTCTTAATGATGTGTCGCTTTTGTTTTTTTTTTTGTCCTGGGAATCGAACTTAGGACCCTGACTTGCCCGGCAGGCGCTGTGCCGCTGAGCTAGATCCCTGGCCCCTCGCTTCTTTACAATCTTAACAATGTGTCATCTTCATTGTACCTTGCCTTTTAATAATGAAGTAGGAAATTAAGAAAGCTTCTGTAGGAGAGGCTAAGGATATTCTCTGTGAGCGCAGCACTCATAAACACAGCTTTGGGGATCACTTTAGCTATGGAACAGCCCTGTTTTTTTTTTTTTTTTTTAATATAAAAACAGGTTGTCTGGTTTTTCATTGTGTTGTGAATAGAAATGGTTGCTGGACTAGTGTAATCAAAATGGACAGAAAGGTCTAAGAGTTCATCATCAAACACAGACCATGTACAAAAAAGTATTAAGGTTAGTCATGACTTCAAATTCAGTATTAATTCATTTCATTTACTTCTAATTTGATAAGAAATCTCCAGTCAATTAATATATGCAATGAATACTTTCATAATGAAGACTTCTGCTTCAGCAAGGCACTAAGTTGCCTTAGTGCAATCCAGATCTGTCATACTGGTTAACAAGTAAACAAAAGAATAGCAAAGAGATAGGACCACAGGACAAGGTAACTGCTTTGTCTCAAACTTTTTTTTTGAGACAGGGTATCCCTATACAGTTCAGGCTGGCCTTGAACTCACTATATAGCTCAGGCTGGCTCCGAACTCGCAGTGATCCTCTTGTCTCAACCTCCCGAGTGCTGGGACTATAGGCGTGCGCCACCACAGCTGGAGAATATTCTCTTATCTACTGATCACATGAAATAACTTACTTGAGGAGATAGAGGAATATTAGCATTTCTAAGCAAGAATTAGGAGGGCTGCCTCTTCCATTTAATTCATGATCATTTGTCCAGATTAACCAGTGTTAAGGTATTTGCTATGTTTACATTTCAACGACAAAAATATTTGAGATTATTTTTAAAATATTTATGATGCATGCCATCATTCTTGGTGGTTATTTACTAGAATTCTGCTAAGAAAATTACCATTTAAATGTCCCAATAGCTTCCAGATTTATTGTAATCAATACGATTTCTTCTTCCAAACAGGTTTTGACACCGAGGTACTGGACTTGTGAACATATTATTTCACTATACTAAGGCAATTACCTAATAACAACAGTATCAAATGAGAATGACTTGGTAGTCTTATTGTTTAATATACATTTTGAAAGCTTCAAACTGTAAAATGTCTCTAAGCTGGTTGTTCTTAGAAGATCAAAAATTAAGGTCTCTCTGAGCCCCGCGTGGTGGCACACGCTTGTAATGCCAGCACTTGGGAGGCTGAAGCAGGAGGATCGTTGCAAGTTTGAGACCAGCCTAGGCTACAAAGTGAGCTCAAGGCCAGCCTGAACTGCATAGCGAGACCCTGTCTCAAAAAAAGACCAAAAAAAAAAAAAATTTAGGTCTCTCTTGTAAGGGCAAAAATTGTCTAAAATAAGTAGAATAGCAAGTTTTGAACATTTTTGTCAAGAAACACAAAGATATTTAATATACAATTATTTCTGAAGAATAAAATACAATCTGAGCATTGCCTCCAGCATCACAGTTGCCTGATTTTTTTGTTTGTTTGTTTCTTTCCGGTACTGGAAATCGAACTCATGACCTTGTGCTTGCCAGGCAGGTGCTGTGCCGCTGAGCTAAATCCCCAGCCCTTGGTTGCCTGATTTTAAGGAACATATAAATATCTTTCTCTAAAGTCACCCTACCCAGAATTCCAGATAATAGGCAGCATGACCAAATGAAGTGACTCTCTAGCCCTACTGCTAACAGCAAATGAAGAAACCAAACTCTGATTTGCTGACTCTTAAGCCACTGATCTATGTGTAACTAATAAATATTTTCTAGCACTTTTAGGCCCCAGGAGCCTGCCGTGGCAAGACTACTAGTCTAATAATGGGAAAGAAAGTCTGTCCCTGAGTTCAGTATTTCCCTCCTGCTGCCCCAGGGTGGGGTCTTATCAGAAACTCCACCACTCTAACCAAACCAATCTAACCATTCATTTTATAGTAACACATATCAGAACAGTGGCCCTTTAGAGACTGATTAGACTAGGAACTGAAGTACACACCAATGCCAGAAAAAATTACAAGTAAAGAATATCTTGGTTGACCGACTAGCTCATTCAGATGAATCATTACATATACTAAGTAGCTTAATCTGAGTACTTTCCCTGATTATAAAGAAGTAGATATAGCCAGGTGTGGTGATGCACATTTGTAATCCCAGCACTCAGGAGGCTGAGGCAGGAAGATCGCCCAGAGTTTGAGGCCAGCCTGAACTACATAGCAAGATCCTGTCTCAAAAGAAAATTAGAATATAGAAAGTATAAAGAAATTTTAAAAATCACATATTTTCACCATATAGAAAAAAGCAGTTCTCACTTTTGCACGGGACTTTGTTAACTGAAACCTTTGCATGAGGGAACTACATCTTTGTTTTGCAGTTCTTTTGTGCCTGACATGAAATCTACGGGGCCTGCACAGTTAAAATCCACAATGCCTCTCTTCAAACTTATTCTCTATGCATGTATTTGTAAAAATAGTAAATTGGTATTATACTGTTTTCAGTTTTATATACTGTCTTTCCCAATTCATAATAATATTTTCTGAAGACTCCAAATATTTTTTAAGAAGATCCTTTATAGCCTGGAGTGGTGACACATGCCTGTAATCACAGCACCAAGCGAGACTGAGGCAAGGGGGTTGTAAGTTTCAGTCCCATATGGACAACATATTGAGGCTCTGTTTCAAAATAAAAAATAAAACGGGATGTAGCTCAGTGGTTGAGCACCCCTGGGTTCTATCCTTAGTATTACCAAAAAAAAAAAAAAAAAAAAAGGATATTATATATAATGGTTTACAGAGTTCTACCCATAGCACTGAAATTAACACCTACCTTTCTATTCCATACGTAGGTTGCTTCCAATTTTCTGCTATTATAAATAATGCTGCAATGAATAGCTTAGTTAGCAAATGTTTGAATATCTAATTAGTTCTAAAGGATAAATTCCCAGAAGTGAAATTACTGAGGAAAATGGAATGAACCACCCTTAAGGCTCTTACTACGTATTCCCAAATCTTCCACTCACATTGAAATTCTTTTAAAATAAATCAGATCAACAGCAATTAAAGGCATAGTGTATAAGCCCTTATGGATAAATGAACATCCCTTTCCTCACACACATTCTTACAGATCTCTACAAGTTAACACCTCCAATCTCCATTTCTGTCTATCTCCAGAAAGAATATGATTACTCCTAATCAACCCCTTCTTCCCCAGATTTCTAATCTTTTCTACTTTAAGAGAAAAAATTAAATCCTTTTAATTTCAAACTCAAATTTGAGACAATCTTTTTAAAATAGACCTAAATCTATGAGACCCTCTAGAATTAAACAGATCTAAATTCAATTCTAATATCAGGCAATTACTAATTGTATGATTCTGGGTTAGTGATTTAATCAAGCCTCAGTTTCTCCACTTATAAAAGGGGTGCTACTACTTACTTAACTAAGGTTAACCTGGAAATTAAATGAGACAGTAATAGGAAGTGTGAAGCACGTATTCTTAGCACACTGCTTGGTATATTAAGAACGCAATAAATATATTAAAATAATGTCATCTTCTGGAGCCCTATACACATCTGAAATAAAATAGACTAGTTAACCTGAAAACAGGCAGTATTGATTAAAAAATCTTGATTTCAAAAGAAATCAAGTGTTTTCTTTATCAAAATAAACACATTACTCAAAAAAGCCAGGTGTTAAAACCTAAGAAAATACCTTTTAAAGACATAGTAACGGTTACTATAACCTCTTCAAAAAAATGTGCGAACACGCTATATCTCTCATTCACATTACCCCAAACTCTCTAGTAAGTTTTTTTGGTACTGGGAATTGAATTTAGGACCTTGCGTTTGCCAGGCAGGCACTGGACTTCTGAGCTATATCCCCAGTCTTTGTATATTAAAGTCAAATTAAGCTAATGATTACCCATCTCTCTCAATTATTGTTTTTTTCGTTTTTTTTTTTGAGACAGGGTCTCACTATGTAGTGCAGGCAGGCCTTAAACTGGCTTATGTAGCCCAGGCTGGCCTCAAACTCATGGTGATCTTTCTGCCTCAGCCTCCCAAGTACTGGGATTACAGGTGTGCATCACTATGCCTGGCTTCTCTCAATTACTGATAAAACAATGTCTTTGACAGAAGTCTTTCTTGCCCCAGATATTAAACAAAAAGAGATTAAAGGAGCATATTATGATTTTTCTCTATGGGACAAACAATGTTTTCTGTAGGTTTTAAACAGAGATCTTTTTACTTTACAGAGTTTTCTTTTTTAACACAATGGAAATGTATTCATAAAAGACCTCACAATACTTAGGATTCATATACACATGACAGTGTTAGGTATTCTACAAATGAGTTCACACACAATAGAAATTTTATTTAATATTCAATAGCAGGAATAATCAACTGTTTAACAATGTTATAAAGGACTTGGGCTTGCCAATAATTTTTTTTTTTTTTTTTCAGACAGTCTAGGTCTGTAATTCAGGATGGCCTTGAACCCGTTATGCAGCCCAGGCTGGCCTGAACCTGCAGTGATCCTCCTGCCTCAGCCTTCTCAGTGCTGAGATTACAGGTGTGTACCACCACATCTGGCTTCAGATGGTTCTTCTGCTAAAAGGACTATTCAGAGTTGACTGGTTAAATATACCACAAAGGTGCATACTTGAAATCCTAACACTAGGAGGCTGAGGTAGAGGCTTGCAAATATGAGCCAAGTCAAGGCAACTTAGTGACTTTGCAAGACCCTGTTTCAAATAAAGAAAGAGAGAAGAGAAAAAGAAGAAGGTTGAGGATATAGCTCAATGCAAAGGGCCCTGGTTCAATCCCTAGTACTGCCCCCCAAATTTTTTTCTTACCCTAAAGTTTTGTTTTTCTTTTCATTTTTTTTTGGGGGGGGGGGGTACCGGGAATCAAACTCAGTACCTTACACTTGCCAGGCAGGAGCTTGTGCTGTTGAGTTATATCCCCAGCTTGTTTTTTATATTTACCAGGAGCCAAAGAATGCTAACAAGACTAAAAGAAAGCTGTCACTACTAAAAAAAAAAAAAAAAAAATTACTCAAATGGATCAAGAAAAACAAATATAAAAATCAAAAGAAGGCAACACTAATAATATAAATTCTACATGGTGTGGTGACTTCTTTGGAAACTTTATCTAACTCCTAGTTTGTTTAAATGAAATCTACAAAGATATAATTTTTTTGCTATCAGAATTTTCTGATAGGAGTGCTAAGAGAACAGAGGAGGGGCAGTAAAATATACTGCATATACAGTATCTACCCATTTAGACACACAGAAAAAAATCCATAAATATTAAGTGCTCAAAGGACTTCAAACTAACGTCAGGCAAATCACTCTGAGTTATAGCTCATGTCCAAGACCCCTAAAACTAACGAAAACAACTCCCTACGCATGTGATAAAGGTGTGGGAAGTTGGGGATTTTCTGTACTCTAGGATGAGCTTTTGGTTCAACATAATGTTTGATCAGTTTTGAGTAGAGATGGAGGAAGGAAAAGGAGAAATTAGCCAAAACAAAATAAAAACAAAAACCCCCCAAACCCTTACAGTGTAGGCTATGGATTGCTTACATATATATCCTATTTAGAAACCTACACTACTTGGTTTTTGCAGAAATTGGCCACCTCAAAATATACTTATTATGCCTATTTAACCATGGTACCATGTCATACATTAAGTCAAAGCAACATTAATGCCTCAAAGAATTTTCCATAATTTTTCTCCCTTAAGCTTCAGGGTCAAAACCTTGAAAACAGCTAAATTTTGAGGGGCAAGAAATGAGAATTGAAAACTGTGACTTTATGATACGTTTCAAAGATACTGCTGCAAAATTATACACTCAACTTCTATCACATATATCACTGAATAACTATTGCACAGAGGACGATGCATCTTTCCAGATTAGTCTTGCAAGTTTTTTGGGAAATAGCAAAGCAACATTCTTTTTTTTTTCTTTTTTTAAAAATTTTTTTTTAAATTTAAATTTTTTTTTTTGGTCTTTTTGAGATAGGGTCTCGCTATGCAGTTCAGGCTAGCCTTGAGCTCACTTTGTAGCCTAGGCTGGTCTTGAACTCACAATGATCCTCCTGCCTCAGCCTCCTGAGTGCTGGGATTATAGGTGTGCACCACCATGCTCAGCTTTTTTTTTTTTTAAATGAAGGATTCATATGGATTTTGGAGGCATGACTTTATTTATTTATTCACTTACGTGGTATCTGGATTTGAACTCTTGACCTAGCACTTGCCAGGCATGTGCTGTGCTGCTGAGCTATATCCCCAGCCCAAAAGCAACATTCTTGGAAACTGCTTACAATAGGGTGCCTTACCAAAAGGAGGTAGTCCATACGTTTGTGTTGCCTGAGGGTAGACAGCATAGGGCTGAGGCTGCTGTAGTGTCTGGTACTGAGTCTGCCCAGGGTAAGCAGTTTCCGAAACAGGAACTGAGAGAATATGTGCATAAGGTCTAGAAAAATTCAAGAAAACAAAAACTTACACAGTGACTTATTTTGGTAAAAATAATACGTAAAATAGCTAATACCACTGAAAGCAAAGAATCAGAAATGAAAAGACTGAGGCAGGAGGGTCACTGAGTGTTCAAGGCCAGCCTGAACTACATAGTGCGATCCTAGCTCAAAAAAAAAAGGATAAAAAGGAGGTGAAACTGGAATAAAGGTGCAGTAAAAATTGATTATAACACAATGGTTCTAGCAAGTGGTGATAAGGAAGTCTGAAGACAGAAAGCATAACTAAAAGAGTGCCTTGAGTGTAGTGGATATGCAAATACTTTGTTGCATATTTTAAATTCACTGTGGAACATATTTATATCTCAGTAGATTCTGAGGCTATTCTTTTTAAAAATTTTAGTGAGGGCTGGGGATTTAGCTCAGCGGCACAGTCTTTGCCTGGCAAACGCAAGGTTGTGAGTGAGTTCGATTCCCAGTGCCGGAAAAAAGCCAAAAAAAAAAAAATTTAGTGAAAAAAATACAAAATTTTTTAACAAGAGAATAACAAAATCCAAGTAGTTACTTAGAGTACAAGGCGGAAACAAAGAAACTATATTCTTAGCTAAATCCAAAAAATAGTCCAGGTTATAGCTATTACTCAAGTCACATGGGAATAATGTAAAATATTAGTGGACCTCACATGTTTCAATCTCCCGATATGATAAAGATCTTAGGTTAGTATCTAATTTCTTTGTAAAATTTCAGAGAATAAATTTAGTCATCTCACAGAAAAAAACTTACTGTGCTAACTTGAGGAGTTTAAAAGTTTAAACTAAGTAACTGAGCAGTTCTACATCCTGGGGTGAAAAGGACATGCCCTTCCTGCTCCAGGATGTTGTTCACTGTGTCAACTTACAAAGTTAAAAAAAGTTAACTGTGTGACTCAGCAGGGGGTGGGGTCCTTATTTTGTATCATCCTGAGCCTGTGCAGGAGGGGGGCGTGGAGACCTTGTGGGCATGGTGGACAGCCCATATACATTGTAAGGAGGGAAAAGAGGCTTACTCCCCCTCCTTGTGCTCTTGCTGCTTTTGCTGTCTTGTGCCACCTTGAAGTGTTGCCCCTCTGCCATGCCACCCTGCCTTGGAGCCAGCTGATTATAGACTAAAACCTCCACAAACTATACGCTAAATAAACCTTTCCTTCCTTAATTTTGGGTGTTGGATATTTTGTCTCAGCAACAAAAAAAGTAACCAAGACAATTTCACAGAAGAAAAGACATGAAAACAACTGGTTCCATGATGCAGTTAGTGTAAAAATCAGATTAGAATTTGGAAAACTCACGCAATTGACTTTTTAAATTTTTTTTTTTTTTAAAGTAAAAAAAGGATAATAGTAATAAGGGGGCTTACCGAATTACAGACAAAGTGGTAGGAAACTTATCAATGGTTGTTGTTTTACATATTGTTATCTACAAGGTAGTTTCTCAGGAAAACAAATAGACAAATAATAGTGAGCTACAGACAAAAGTGGTAGGTTATTATCAATGGTTGTTGTACTATATTTTGGTATCTTCAAAGTGGTTTCTAAAGAAAATAAATAGAGCTACACATGAGTGACCAATTGAATAATCATTGACTATTCTCAATGGCTGTTGTAGGAAACACATAGTAATAAACATACATCCATTTACAAAATAGCACAGGAACAATACAAACATTACAGAGTTATGGACAGATTAGTAGGAAAATATCATTGGCTGCTTTAATACATGGTGGTATCTTTAAAGTGGTTTCTCAGGAAAACAAAGATATCCAAGAAAGATCTAACAAGTAGTTAGTTACAGCCTAAGGGTTGTGAAAAATAGTGTATTACTTCCTCACCAGTGACTCCTTTCACTGTTGACTTTTTAATTTTTTTTTGGTATAAGGAATAGAACTCAGGACCTTGCGCTTGCCAGGCAGGCACTTGTGCCATGGAGCTATATCCCTGGCTAAATTGACTTTTTAATAGGCTCATTTTAACTAATGTGAAATTCAAAAGGTTCAAATGGAAAGGCACAATAAGAGAAAAAAATTGCCAGTTTCTTTTTGAAATGGCCTCACAGGCATCTCTCATCTCTGGTACCAATTTCTTTATATATCATGCACTTGTAAGCACATGAGAACGTATCCTGGTTTATAAGCACACCTATACATGTCTGCAGATGGATATGCCCACTCTTCATCAACATGCAACTGGTATCTTGGTACACACGTTCTACACCTGCACATATTGGAAGTAACTAACTTAGTTGGTTATAAATGCTAATCTTGCTCTGGAAAGGCCCAAAACTTTATGTCTCAGTGACTTTGACCTACCAACTGGTTTGTTTTTTGTTTTTTGTTTTTTTTTTTAAATAAAGATAAGGTTTCACTATGTAGTTCAGGCTGGCCTTGAACTCACATCAATCCTCCTACCTCAGCCTCCCAAGTACTAGGATCACAGGTGGGCGCCACCATGCCCAGCTCACCAACCTGTTTAATTTCAAGCCCAAATCTTATGCTGAAGATATTTCTCAAATGAAAAACTGAACACAGATAAGGCTGAGAAGTCCCATTCTGGGGCTGGCCTATTACTGATCTGTATATCAAGGTAAAGAGAGAATGATCAAAGGTCAGTCAGTAATATGCTTTCATCACTAACATTGTGTTACATTTTCCATGGCTCTCTGAGTGGGATCTTATGTAACAGGCAACCAATTACTTTCTAAAAGGATGATACATGGACTACATTTGGAGGGAATAAAAAATTGGAGTAGGAATATAGAGAACAAGAGAAGTGAGAAACTAAATTTCAAATTAAATTTTGCAACAAACCTACAGGAAAAGTATACGTATTTTGGAAATGATTATTTAACTTACTTTGCAGAATATATTTGTGAGGTATAATCATTGGATGAGCGAGGGATGTAATCGGTGCATGTCATAACTGAAAGACAGATAATATCACCATGTAAAAAAGTTAGAACATTTTCAAAATGAAATGGGAAAATTGCATGTCACTACATAGTCTCTCAAACGAAACGACAGAATATATACCCTGGGTACCAGAAAGTTTGAAAGATTATGTAGCAGAAAATACTTCACTTTCATGTTATAGATCTGTTCACAGACTTTGAGAGTCAGTACAAGAAACAAGAACGTACCGATTATGAAAAGTCAACAGCTGATATCAGGTGATCTCTACCTTCACCCATCACTGATCTAAATCATAGATGAAGCGACCTCCGAAGCTTTCAGCTGTGCTCAATGGCAAACTTAAAAAGCAACTTCTGTATCTGGGAAACCACCTTATGCTTCTCCACCTTATCCATTCTCTGGGTGCTTACTCTATTCTTAGTAAAAGGTCATACAAATGACATATAGGAAGCCAGATTTGGGGGAAACTCTCATTCTTATCAGAAAACTGTTGCTACTATAGAACCAGGATGCTTCTATACTATATTTTGCGACCTGTAACAAAAGCTTGTTTTAAGTTTGGCAAAGCAGAGACAGACTGATGTGGAACTGATGTGATACTCTGATGAACCAGCACATAAAGTGACTTTTCCAGCTAATCTCCTCTTGATCTCCATGACTTTCTTGAAAATAGCTGCTGTAAACTTGATTTTCTTAATATCTGGAATAAATGCTTTAAGTATTTGAGTCAAGTTTAACAGATAACTAAATTCCTCTCATTAGACACTAATTTAGACCAGGCTGTAGGCTGTAGTGCTTTTATGATGTCACTAGACACTTGAATTGTTCAAGAACTTTCTCTAACATCTATAAAAGCAGCTACTGTGAACAGAGACTGAAGGTGAATCAACCAAGTTTCTGTCTAGCTAGGTTTCCTGAAGAAGTGCCTGACCCAAAATGAAAGCCCTGGTCAAGAACAGATGAGGGGCCAACTCATACCCAAAAGTAAGACAAATCATCATCTATGAGTTTATCACAGAAGATCTTATTCAATGCCACGTTTGAGGTCTTTAAAAATAATTATTGGAAACTTGAAGATCACATTCATTTATAAGCATTTCTCAATTAGATCTGAAGTTTTACTACCTATCACACAGAAGGTAAGGAACCCTCATTCAAATTCTGCAGGTTCCTTCTCTGCTGACAGGTACTTTATAAAACACAAACCCTTATCCTCCTCCAATTCAACTTAATTCTACAAGAGAACAATAAAACATCCTAGGATCTTGGGCCAATTTTTATTTGTCTAGATAATGAATAAGCCTTGATTTTGGTAACATATGGGAACCACAAAAGGATTATGAAGAGTCAAATACAATTAACAGGGCTTCTGTTAGTAGTGGATACAGGAAATGTGTAAAACAGGGGAATGCAGGATGACTTCTAGGCTTTTACTTGGAGCACCTGGAGGATAAGTGTATCACTTTCTAAAGCAGCCAACACTGAGAGAACAGATATGATCAACCTAGGGGGATCAGAAACTCTTTTAAAGACATTTTCAGTATGACTTTCCTTTCATGTACATAAATAGAGATTTCAAAAGGGCAGGTAGATACACAAATGAAATCGAGAGAGGTCATACTGGAAATATAAATTTGGGATTCATTAACAACATATAAAACATTTAAAATAATGTAATGCAGGGAAGGCTCCCCAAAGGGAAAAGATGGTAGTTTAGAAGCAAGCCCCGAAGCTTTCCAACATCAGAATTCAGCTAGAGGAAAGAAGGCTGATCAAGAGTGAAAGGTGGGAGGAAACACAGGGAGAGGGAAAATATGAGGAAAGGGAAATGTCTACTAGAACTGGCAGCATGAAAGTAGCTGATGACAAGAACAGTTTCAATGGAAGAGTGGAGACAAAACTAAACCTGACAGGGTCTGAAGAGCAAAGAGAAAGCAAGGGACAACAACTCTTCAGGGGTTCTGATGTGTGTGGCAGCAGAAAGTATGCAGTACATGATGTGGAGACAAAGGGGGCTCTTATTTGTATCCAAAAATGACAGAGACAATCTGTTGTTGATTAACAGGAAGGATTTAAGAAAAGAAGATTGTGATGAGTAGGAGTAGTGACCGGATAACTATACCACCAAAGTCCTAGCAGAAGGGAAGAGAGGATGGATATGTAACACAAATGTAAGTATTTAAAATTTGACAGAAGCAAGAGTATCTTTTCCATTCTAACAAAAGGAAGCAAGCAAACATGCATACAAATACCAGCAGATTTGCAGATTTGATGGCGGCAGGACAAGAAACATCCACTGACAGTGAGGAAAAGTGAGCTTGGTGCTTTGAGAGAAGAGGTGGCATGAAATATTAAAAGGCAAAACTAATCAGGAAAGTATGGGATTTTTAAGCATACTATGGGCTCGCTTGAGGCCTTCCGACTATGACTAAGGTGTAAGTAGTCAATTAGGTATATAATTCTTTCTAATGTTTAGTTACTTATATAGATTTATGGAGATTAAATTAGGACTGGGGTTTTGCAAGGGTTGAGGACTTTTAAGAGGTATTAAAAGTATTTGTTATTGAAAATATTTGTGAGAGTAATTATAATAAAGGACCAGACAATTTATGCCTTGTAAGAAGGAAAATGAAGAGAAAAATGATGGGTTCTGGATAAGTCATCTACATGAATGTTAACATCACAAAGAGCAGTAAGAGCTTGGATGGAGAAGAAAACAGAGAAGATCCAGTTTTTGAAGAATAGAATAACTTTTACTCTAAGTAGTTCAGCCTAAGCTTTAGGAAAGATGGGGCAAGTATATGGATACAGACTTTACAGGAGCTAGAGTTTTTGAAGAAAATGGAAGAGAAGGGGCTGGGGATTTAGCTCAGCGGCACAGTACTTGCCTGGCAAGCACAAGGCCGCGAGTTCAGTTCCCGGTACAGAAAAAAAAAAAAAAAGGAAGAGAAATTTTTTGGAAGCACTAAGAATACTCAACTTCTTGGACCTAAAGTATGTAAATGAAGTGTGAGATTTTAGGATACAGGTCTTTTTGGTAGAGAGTGGTGTATTTGTGTGCATGTGTGAGTGGGACTTGCAGGACTCAGGAGATACCGCATTGCTTAGAGCAGTTTCCCACAGGATGAAGTTTCCCATATGTACTAACTCATCCACCAGCAGAAGCATCATGAAAATTCCACCTATATCAGATCTACTGAATAATAATCTCTGAAGATGTGGCTAGAATTCTACATCACAAACAAGCATTTCAGATGATTCTTATGTTTTATGCTGAAAGTATGACAAATACTGAGACCCAGAGCCACCTTTAAAAAATAATATACAGAACTCAAGACATCTTTTTTTTAAAAAAAGGTCATACTTTATTTAACACAAGGTAAGGATACTTAAGAAAAGAAATAGTCCCCAAACAAACAGCTTTCTAGAGAATGTCTTACATAAATTTCCTCTTTTAAAGTGTGTGATAAAATAGTAAGGCATAGCTATTTAATTTCAAGAAGGACTACTTTCCCTGTGGAGCCAATATGGGGAAGTGGGTATGTCAAACAAAGCCTGTCTCCACAAAGATTCTGTCTAATGTATAAGTGTAGCTGTCATATAGGAGAGTGAGTTGGTATGTGGGGGATTCATCTTGCTGAGCTGGATCTCCTTCAGACCCTAGTATCAACCTTGGGCTCAGGGGATTGGTTTTCTTTCTTGGCCAAGATTTGACAGATGAGGTCACTTGGTTGTATTAGAGAAGCAGAAAAATATCAAGTTCCCCAGAGGAGAAGTCAAGAGTTGGCCCACAAATGTTTCTCACTTTGAGTAGGGCACTACTACCTTTAAAACCAAACAAAAGCACTAAGTGTGACTCCTGGGTGAGAAGATTCTGTGTAAGTTCCCCCTGCCAGCTGGTTATGTCAACAGAACTTACAGAACAGTACAAGTGAACATTCACACAGGAGAGAAGATCTTTCTGTATATTCTGAGGCAATCCAGGCCATCAGTGAAACCCAGCTACACAAGAAGCGCGTCACCTGGCTATAGGAATGCCCCTCCACCAAGCACAAAATATGGTACTTACTTTCCTCTGACATGGCAAGGTTTGAAGCAAGGCTTGATGTTTCAGGTTTCTGATCACTGACATCCGGGCTGCTAACTTGACTGAGAGAACCAAAATGAATACATTAGGCCCTGACTGATATGCTACATTGCTAAAAGAGATGCGATCAAGCTCTTTCTCTCCTAGGCTATTTAAGTAAGAGGCAAGGTAAATCTTTGTAATATTCTTATTGGTTTTTAACACCTACATGAAAAGAGCTAAGGCCAGCGTTGGTACCCTCAGAATTCTATTGTCCTTTTTCAGATTCCTAGACCCTTTTAAAAAAAATGTTCATATCACTCAGAACTCTGGCTAAGGCATGAGCAAGCCAAAGTTTTCTTTAAAAACATAGTAAAAGAAAAATTCCAAACTTCTAAAACACTTCTATCACTTTTTAAAACACTGCATATATTATGTATTTATAGGGAATAATGTAATGTTTTGATTCTGTTTACACTGTGGGAAGATAAAATCAAGCTAATTAACAAATCTATCACATCACATACTTATTTTTTGTGTTAAATACATTTAAAATCTATTAATAATTTTGAAATATATGATGCATTAGTATTTACCAGTTACCATTCTGTATATTCTGTCACTTTGGTTTCAGAGTTCTATAGAAAAGTAGGTAAAATCACTTATTTCAGAAATAGTTCTTAATCAGCTACAAATCATAATCATTTAAAGTTTTTCCAAATCACACAAGCCTTTCTCCAAGTAGAAGTTCTCATTCCTTAAAATGGTTCAATCCACTGTATTCCTTTTGTGAACCCAGGTTCTCACATATGACAGACAAGTGCTCTACCAGTGCGGTGGTTTTTTTTGTTTGTTTTTGTATTTTTGACACAGGATCTCACTATGCAGGTCAGGCTGAACTTGAACTCACTTTGTAGCTCAGGCTGGCCTCAAACTCACAGTGACCCTCCTGTCTCAGCCTCCAGAGTGCTGGTACAGGCGTGTGCCACCATGCCCAGCTGTTTTGTTTTTGTTTTAACTTAGGAAATTTAAAAGAAACTTTAAAAGGTAAAGCATGCAAACTGGGAGAGGAAGTCACAATGTTAAGATACTGTAATACCGGGAAGATTCCAGTGAAATTCTGGAACAGAGATTATTCAAACTTGGTGTCCCTCACAATGTTTTCCCTTTTTCTTCCACTTCACATTGCACTCTCTAGTCACTCCCTACTAGTGTAACGTAGTGGCTAAGAGCACAGATTCTACAGAAATTAAGAATAGAAAGCATAGGTTTATGTTTTTCTCTTATACTGTTAGAGTGACTGGAAATGCATGTGTTATGGTTTGTGTCTGGGTGTCCCCCCAAAGCCTCATGCAGAGATGGGGCAGGCTTTTAGAGTTTGACTGATTGTGGGTGTGAGAGCTACACCGCCCTGGGGTGGATAGTTTACATATGTAGGGGCTGGGGATTTAGCTCAGCGGCAAAGCGCCTGCCTGGTCGTGAGTTCGGTTCCCGGTACCAGAGAAAAACCAAAAAAAAAAAAAACTTTCCTGATAGTTTACATATGTAAGGGAGAGAAAAAGGGTGCTTGAGGCCATTCTGCCCTAGTGTATGCTTGCTGATTCGGCTGTGTTCTGCCACCCTGAGCTGTAGCTCTCTGCCATGTGCCAGTCTGCCTTATAATCTGCCAAGTATAAACTAAAACCTCCACAAACTGTAAGCAAAATAAACCTTTCCTTCCTTAATTTTGGGCGTCAGATATTTTGTCCCAACAACAACAAAAAAATAACCAAGACAGCATGGACTAGGCAAACAATTTGAGCAAGGTTGTAGTTTTGTTAGATAAGCATAAGGTAAGAAAAAAGAGGAAGTTAAGAATGTCTACATAATGGCGCATGCCTGTAATTCCAGCACTCTGGGAGGCTGAGGCAGGACACCACCTGAGGCTTAGGTCTGGGCAACTGAATGAGACCCTATCTCAAAAACATAAAGAGGTGAAGTTGTAGCTCAGTGTAAAGGCCCTAAATTCAATCCCCAATACCCTTCTTCAAAAGAGACTTTTACAAGGGGACTGATAATAGTAGATCTTAAAATTTAAGTAGCACAAGGAAGAACCTGACATTCTTTCTGAGGGAAAGGAAATGGGTAATAATGAAAAAAACCAATAATCATTTAACTAGAAGTGTGAGACATCATGTAGCCACCATGGCAGTTCTAGCATAAATGAGCCAGAATGACTATATAGTGGTAAAAGCAGACTTTTTGAAGTAAACGTGTTAGAAGTGATGGAGTTACTACCGGCCCATATGGTTGGTGGACAAATGACAAGAGGAAATAATTGTAGTAATAACTGTGAGAGGTAACAATTGTAAAAACCATGGAATTATGGAGTCAGCACATGAAGAATAAAAAGCTGCCTCCTTTTCTTTTTATAGAAAGTCTTTTTTTTTTTTTTTTCAGGCAGGGTCTTGCTACATAGTTCAGGCTGGCCTCGAACTCATGATGTAGCTCAGAGTGCTCTCAAACTCATGGCAATCCCCCTGCCTCAGCCACCAGAGTGCTGGGATTATAGGCAAGCACCACCATGCCCAGCTTTTTTCTTTCTGTTTTAAACACTTAACAGTTTACACCAAATATCACCCTGGCAGCATGTTTGCTTACATACTGACTATCCTGAGCATCACTTGGGCAGGTGTCATTTCAACCAGTCAATTCTTATATTGAATAAATTTGATAAAATTGTTACTTTTGTATTTCCTATGACATTATCCTATAAAAATGAAAATATATGCAATTTTTTGGTCATCTTGTATTTAAGTAATTGGACTAGTAAGTGGTTAATTGTTATTGGTTGAACTCAGGGCCTCACACATGCTAGATAAATGTTTTACTACTAATTCATACCCCTAGCCTTTCTTTTCCTCTAGAAGGAGTGGAATTAATGACTAAGGCATCCATATCCATTTAACAGTTAATAACAAATTCCTCCATTTCCCTTATTTTGGCTTCTGATTTCTACGCTGTATATTTAGAATATGGTTTCCCCTACATGGTACAGCGCCTAATATCTAAAATGAATCTAGTATATATTGTTGAATAAATACTGAATGCATGGTGGACATGGGGGTGTATGCCTGTAATCCCAGCATTTGGGAGGCTGAGGCAGGAAGATCGCTGTGAGTTCAAGGCCAGCCTGAGCTACCTAGTGAATCTGAGACCAGTCTGTACTACACAGTGAGACCCTGCCTTAAAAAAAAGAAAAAAATTGAATGCATACCAAAAAGAAAGAAGCCAGGCATGGTGGTGCACGCCTGCAATCCCAGCACTCGGGAGGCTGAGGCAGGAGAATCACTGCAAGTTCGAGACCAGCCTGGGATACAAAGTTAGCTCAAGGCCAGCCTGAACTGCATAGCGAGATGCTGTCTCAAAAAGACAAAAAACAAACAAACCAACCAAAAAAGAAAGAAAGAAAAACTACATATGTATTTTGGGGGAATAGCTATTTTGGAGAGAACTGGTTTTTTTTTTTTTCTTTTTTCTTTGAGATGAGGTCTCACTATGTTTTCCAGGCTGATCTCAAACTAACAGACTCAAGCAGTTCTGTCTTGGAAGGAAAGTTTAACATTTTAAACCACATAATTTCAAAATGCAAAGGCTGACATTAAGAACAAAAAAGAGGGCAGTCCACCCAAAGCACGCCCATACAGTAATCAGCATGTACAAAAGAGAAAGTAAACAACTGTGAAAGGCAATGTGGAGCGGCCGCTTGATTGGATTAAAACACACTAAAGCCTCGGCTGGATTATGAGGGCGCTAACCTCACCAGTGTGTTAACCCACTGCTGAGGGCATCACTGAGTAGGCTGTTCCGAGGTGGGTCCCAGGTGGAAAGCAGGTCACAGGGGCGTGCCTCTCAAAGATGTATCTTTTCTTGGGCTCCTTCTCTTCCTGCTTTCTGGTTGCTATGGTGCAGGCCGTTTTCTTTTATCATTTCCTTCCACCATAATACTCTTAGCCTGAAGCCAGCTGAACACGGATGAAAACCTATGAAACTGTGGGCCCAAATGAATCTTTCTTCCTTTAAATTGTGTATGTCAAGGATTTTGTCCTAGCAACAGAAAGGTAACTAAACACAATCACTAAAAAGAACTTCAATTTTACATACCTTAAAGTTTGTTCTCCTGGTTCCTGCATCTTGGCTTTTTTCACCTGCAAAAATAAATATATAAAGAAATCAATACAGTGATTTGTTTTTGAAACAAATACAGGTGTGCTACTCAAATACAAGTGTTCCTTGGTATCTACGAGGAATAGCACATACCAAACTCTGGATGCTCAAGTCGTGGGTAAAATGGTGTGTATTTGCACATAACCTTTGCCTATCCTCCCGTGTACTAAAACAAGTATTTATAACAGTTAACACAATGTAAATGCTATATATATAATTATATTTTTTAGGGAATAATGATAAGGAAAAATCTGCACATGTTCAACATTGATGCAATTTTTCGTCCAGTATTTTCCACCCCCAAAACAATCTGATTTTGGAGCTCTCTGGTAAGAATAAACGGCAACAATAAAAACATGCATCTAGGCGTGGTGGCGCATGCCTGTAACACTAGCCCGCAGGAAGCTGAGGCAGGAGGATCACAAGTTTCAGGCCAACCAGGGCTACAAAGTGAGATCATGGCCAGCTTGAGCTACACAGAAAAACCCTATCTCAAAAAAGGCAAGAAAAAAAGAAAAGAAACATGCTATATGCTTAGATACTCAAATTAGGAATCTTTACTCTTTTTCTTTTTTTGGGGGGGGGAGTTTTCCGGTACAGGGAACCGAACTCATGACCTTGCACTTGCCAGGCAGGTGCTGTGCCTCTGAGCTAAATCCCCAGCCCCAGGAATCTTTAAAAGTACAGTATTTTGAGTTAATGAGAAAAGGCAGACTCTTGTTATGTAATTTTAAAGAAACACATAAACTGGTAACAGGGCTATTTATTAAGATCAAAATTAACATTTCTGTCAAGGTAAACAATAAACTCAAGACCCATAAAAATTTTCATGGACATTTATCCCTCATGAGAATATATAACCACAGAATAAATAAAACCACTTTCTCTTTTATTTTTTATTTTTTTTTTTTTTTGGTCTTTTTTGAGACAGGGTCTCCCTATGCAGTTTAGGCTGGCCTTGAGCTCACTTTGTAGCCCAGGCTGGTCTTGAACTCACAATGATCCTTCTGCCTCAGCCTCCTGGAATGCTGGAATTATGGGCGTGCGCCACTATGCCTGGCCTTTTTTCCTTTTTTTATGTCATCTAAACTTCTACTATATTCAAACCTGGCTTAATGTTCACAAGGTAACAAAAAAGATAAAGGGAAGAGGAACATCTCCTGAACTTAATAAATAGAATTACACTAGCATTTGAAGCAAATGCTTAAATCTAAAAGCCATAAGGAGCAAACAGACATACAAGCTTACACAACAATGTAAAGCCTCTGTATGGTGGTGCACAGACGAAACCAAACATGAGGACGATGCTCCTAGGACATAAGTAGAGCATGACTCTAACTATTTTATACATGTGTAACGTAATCTCACTGGAAAAGGGTAGAAGAAAAATGATCTGACCTAAGTAATGTTAGGAAACAGTGTTTTGGCTAGAAATTCTCTGGCTAAAGATAAGAAAAATTGAACTATCTAATTTATCTGCCTGCCATACTTTCACAAATGACAAAATATCAGCTCATTATAAAATGTTCTGCTCTTTCTACCTGAAAATGATAGTATTTACAGGTCAGATAATGTACTTTTTCCAATAATGAAAATGAGTTTATGTTTCACTTATCTAAAGATCCTTTTTATTACCAAAGAAAAGTATTTGTAAACTGGCTGGAAAAGTACCCAAAATAGTCTATAGCAGTGGTGGTGGACCTATGGCATGTGTGTCACAACGGGCTGTTTGTACTGTTGAAAGCCCTAAAAGGTTTGCCCTCACTGGTCGATAGTATCCTAGCAGTAAGCCATACCAAGAAAATTAGAGCATTCAAGAACATATTTATCACAGCCTTAATTTTATTACAGTCATAGACTAATAATAAATTTAGTTAACTCCCTAGAGCATGCATATATGTGTATTTATTTATTAAAACAGAGTTTTGCTATGTAGTTAAGGTAGGCCTTGAACTCACTTTGTAGCCCAAGCTGGCCTCAAACTTGCAGCAATCCTCCTGCCTCAGCCTCCTGAGAGCTGGGATCACAGGAGCAAATTTTTTAAATACATTAATGCACCTCACAATGTTTCAGTAAATGACAGACTAAATATACAACAGTGGTTTTATAAGATTATAATGGAGCTGAAAAATTCCTATCACCTAGTGACACTGTATTTTTTGTTTGTTTTTTGCGATACCGGGGATTAGACTCACAACCTTGTGCTTGCCAGGCAGGTGCTTACGCCACTGAGCTATTTCCCCAGCCCTAGGCATTATAATAGTGTTTGTGGATGCTGGTATAAATGCACTGAACTGCCAGTCATATAAAAGTATAGTGTACATCAATTATGTATGGTACATAATACTTATCATAACTGTTACTAGCTTATATATGTACTTAATGTTACAGCAGCTAGTAGCCTTGCCCCAACTGCAAATTACCCTACGACAAATTCTCCAGTGTTAAAAATATGCATCTACAATGGAATTCTGATTCGTCATCATGCTAGCATTCATTCAATAGATTATTCCTTACCAAGTCCTTCTGACAGAGAATGTAATGATAAACCAAACATACTCCTTAACCTCAAGGAACATACAATCTGGTTAAAAAGAAAAACAAGTAAATAGATAATTTCTAAAACAAAGAGATTGTGGATTCTGACAGAAGTGTAAGACACTATGGCACACACTGAAGGGACACTGAACAAAGACTCTTTACTGGGGGGAGGTGGCCTAGGAATACAGGGACAGAGTAGGACAGTAAGTCAGGTAAACTCCTGCGGAAAGTAGTAAGACACTAATTTTTGAACTTGGTGTGGTGGTACATGCTTGTAATCCCAGCACTTGGGAGGCTGAGGTAGGACTGCCCTGAGTCAAAAACCATCTTGAGTGGGCATAGTGAGTTCAAGACCAGCTTTGAATATATAGTGCGATCCTGTTTAAAAAAAACACAGTAGTTTTCAAATTTTTTTTCCTGACTCTGCCTATGGACAACATACACACTCCCTCCAGTCAACAACGCTAACATTTTCTGATTTTAACTCAGTTGAGAACTGTTAGTCTAAATTAAACTTGATGGATGAACTGGATTTAGTCAAGTAAAACAGAGAAACTTACATTTGAAGGTGGGGGAAATTAGACTGATCTATGTAGAGGAAAGAACAAGAGTAAAAAGATTCACAGGTTAAGAGAGAAAATGAAAATTACTCTACTGAAAATTTACCATAAGCCTGGAATGAGTCCAAGGAAGAGATGGTAAAACTGGGTGATGCAAGTTAACAGAAGTTTAATCATGAAGGTTCTTATAAACTTGATTAAGGAATTCATTTTTATCTCAAGGGTAATAAGAAACCTCTGAATAGTAGCAAGATAACATGATCTATTCTGAATTTTAGAAAGATTATTTTGATACAGTATAGACAGAGAATGAATGCCTATAACCCCAGCACTTGGGAGGTTGAGGCAGGAGGATCACTGCAAGTTTGAGGCCAGTCTGGGCTACATGGTGGGTTCAATACCAGCCTGAACTATATATAGCAAGACCCTGTCTCAAAAGACCAAAAAATAAATAAATAAATAAAAGAGAGAGAGAGAGAGAGAGAGAGAGAGAGAGAGAGAGAGAGAAAGAAGAAAAAGGAAATGAATAGGAGGGGAAACAGATCAAATTTAAGAAAACCTGGCAAACTGTTGCATTAATTCAGATAGAGAAGATGGCCTAAAGTAATTCTCCCAGTAAACTAAAGAAAGTGAAGACCACGACTGGACTGAGGTGATCCCATCCTGTAAGAGTCACTTGATTATTACTGATCATTTAGCTATATGCTAATTTCAGGAAAAAAAGGTGGCAAATCTAAGCCATGAAATACAAACACAAACACTTATAAAGCAAAAATATATGAATATATTTCCACTTACTGAAAATATAACAAAGAAAGAAAATCTCATCTACTTAATCTTTTCTAAAAATCCCTTATGCACACAGAACTCTAAACTGGCATTCTTTTTTTGTTTGGTTTGGGTTTTTTTTGTTTTTTGTTTTTCTTCCGGTACCAGGAATTGAACTCACGACCTTCCGCCCACCAGGCAGGCGCTTTGCCGCTGAGCTAAATCCCCAGCTCCTAAACTGGTATTCTTTAGTCAAGAATATCACAAGGACAGAAAATATAATGGGTAGTGACATAAAGATCCTTTTGTGGAGAGTCACTTCTAGCAAGTAATACTAACAGGCCCACACTTCACTACTAATAATTTTTTAAAAATCACTCAGTTACAAATGATTTTGTTGTGTATAAGCAATCTTCCAAACACCCAAGAATCTATCTATGGGTTTGGGGATCCTCTCTGCTGATTGTACAGCTTCTACTTGAAAAGGACAGAATGAAGTAGCGGTGACAAACTTAAGGCACATATGCCACAGCAGGCTGTTTTACCATTATAAGCTCTAAAAGGCTCACCATCACTAGTATGAAGAGAGGCGCTGGAACAAGAGTAAGAAATAGGGGCTGGGGATTTAGCTCAGCGGCACAGCGCCTGCCTGGCAAGCGCAAGGTCGTAAGTTCGATTCCTGGTACCGGAAAAAAAACAAAAGCAAAACAAAAAAAAAAAGAGTAAGAAATAACTAGGGCCTGGCAGTATAGCTCAGCAGTAAAGCACCTGCTTAGCATGTTCAAGGGGCTGGGTTCCATCCTTAGCAGCACAAAAGAAAAAATTCACACTGCAGTTTACTAAAGAAATAACACTACTATCCTTTGATACTTTAAAATATTGCTGGGTATGCTGGTGTACCCTGCCTATAATCCCAGCTATTTGAGGGGCTAAGGCAGGAAGATCTCAAGTTTGTGGCCATCTGGGGTAGCATGAGACTGTCTCAAAAACAAACAAAATAAAAGATTTTTCTAGATCTGGTATCACATAGATACTTGATGCATTTATATCCTAAAACTTCAAACTATCAACTACTAGCTCCTGATGATTGACAGTCATATCCTTTTCTCAGT